TATATATATATATATATATATATATATATATATATATATATAGCTTCTAATATCATTATTTGATTTATTGCATATACCTTGAAACACACAAATAAAAAACCATTGCGAAAATTAAAAGGAAACTGTTTTAAAAGTAAAAAATTTTAAAATATGAGAAAGATGGATGAATAATTAAACCTACATTTATAAACATTATATCCACATCAAATGTATATAGATTTTTTAAATACACAGTTGGTATATTGATTATTACAACTTAACTAAAAAAGAAGAATATGTAACATTGAAAGAAAAATGAGCATGAATGAGAATAATTTCTCAATTTGATAGAACATGTATATTTGTCTTAATAGTGGTACGATTTGAAATTCATGTTACCTACGAGAATGGTATACTCATATATACATAAATTTAGTAAGAGGGTGAGCCTTTAATTTACCAACTTGTATTCAACACTTTTGGAAAAGATGTGAAACTAGAAATTTCGCAAGTATGCATCAAAGAATCCATATGATATCACACACTTCAATTTTTCCAATAAAACTGCGATATGATTGTTTCATTTATTGGAAATTTTATATCGATTAAAGATAAGATAAATATAAAATATATAAATAGATGGAAATTTCACTTTACAACCATGTTTTGTGAGATCGAATTAAATTTAAAGTTTATTTCTTAAATGATATCAAAGTCTGATTCGAGCTTATCCTAACAATATTTGTTGTTTGTTAAACTTATTATTCTATCGGACCGCTATTAAACCTTAACACAACATAAAGGTAAATTGATATAATAACTCTCAAATTAACCTGACTAGAAGAGATTCTCCTATCATTTTATTAAATAAGTTTATATTAACTTCAATTTTACAAAAATTGATTTCCAAAATAAAGATTCAAGATTCATTATGTTTTGTGACATAGGTTAATTGTGCAATTATTTTTTATCAATTTGATAGAAGATAAAATCTAAAGTTCTTGATTTGAGTTTATTTGAATTTAAAGAAAAAAAATGAACTAAACTGAGTGAAACCAATCCAATTAAAAAATGTGTTAGAGTTCAATTTTATTACGTTGTTGGCTTCAATTGAGTGTAATTTTAATATCTATTTTTTTATATAAGTTCATTATCAATAATTATGGATATATAAAAATAAAAAGTTTGGAGTGGTATAGAAGAAGACAAATTCTTACACTAAATTCTCTAATTAAAGTTCAAAACACTATGTTCATAATAAACTCCAATCACACATAAATATACCCAACTTTACTTTGAAAATGCATAATTTTATCCAAAAATTATGCTATAGTTTCTCACTAAAAGAATAAAAAACATTTTTTTTATATTATGATAAACTTACTTGAAATGCATAATAAAAAATATAAAAGTATTAGCGTAATTTTATTTTAAAAAATTAATATATGATATTAAATTTGTAAATCACACATTTGATATACAAATTAATTACTATAATATCGGATTAAGCTTCACAATTGAATAAATATAAATTGGAAAGATCCAAATTGATAAAATTTCTATCCATAACCTAGCTAAACATAGAATACGTAACTAATCACAATTTTAATTAAATATATTGTATATTTTAAAGATAAACCTCGACAGTTGTATAGTTAACGTATTAATTAAGGATGTTGTTTCGTTATATTCCTTTTTTATACTAAAAAACAACCGTTTGAAATTGCAGGTTCCTTTGACCCTAGTGTGCTGCAAGATTGCTTGTTTCATACATACACAACTACACCAAATCACTAATAATAATATTTTTAGATACATAAAATTGTTACATAATTTAACACGATCTTTATTTTTTTTTAATTTATCTTTTAAAAAAATAAAAATTTATTTTTTTATGGTCATTTTATTTTATAATTTATGTCATATAAATATAAAAATGTATCAACCTACCATTATTCTTATATTTATCTAAAACTGTTTCTGAAAAAAAAATGTTATTTTCACTTTCACAATCATCTCATCACTCAATCACCACCGGACTAAATACTCTCAATTTTCATTATATAAAAAATACTAATATAATTCCAAAAATTTTCATTAAAAAAAACAAAAAATCACTATCTTGAAAATATAAAACACGTTTAATAAGAGGAAGTTTTAGGAGAGCTAAAATTACATTGAAAAACAACAAAAAAAACAAGCCTACTTGCCAAGGCTACACCACGTGTTTTCTCACCAAAATTCAATTTAAAAGATCGTGAAACGGCTTGGTCCAAGACCACAATAGAGTATCAATAACATTGCCTATAACAAATCCCAACACTAATTATGTCGTCTAGGGTTTGGAAGACGTGTGTACTATAGGGTCGAACGACTTAGAAAAAGTGAGTTATACCATGCAAGACGGATCGTCCTGAAACAACCAGGATAACAGTACATTATCCGGATTGACAGATAAAGCCAAACAATTCCTGTAACGTCAGACAACATCATTCGACAGATAAGTTTTCTCTGAAAGAATTAAGGTAAATGGTAATTAGGGGTATTGGGCCGATGTTGGACCAAGATTAAAATTTCACTAATCTCAAGCCCAAGTCAAAAACTATAAATACAAGTCAAATGTAAGATGTAGGTGATCACCTTTACTGTGTATTTAATATTATTTCTCTAATTTTCGTACAGACAATTTGTTGACTTAAGTATCGGAAAACCTTTGACAAGTACACTCCAGACAGTAAAGTGGAGACGAAGACCAGATGATCAATTATCGAATGAGAAATTGTGAAAGTGTTTAAAGTGACTCGACCTCGTACCCGAAACAATTATATATTTTTTTATACTAAAAAACAACCGTTTGAAATTGCAGGTTACTTTGACCCTAGTGTGCTGCCCTAGTGTGCTGCAAGATTGCTTGTTTCATATACATACACAACTACACCAAATCACTATTATATCCACAATAATAATATTTTTAGATACATAAAATTGTTACATTAATTTAACAAGATCTTTTATTTTTTTTATTTTCTTTTTTCTTTTAAAAAAATAAAAAATTATTTTTTATGGTCATTTTATTTTATAATTTGTCATATAAATATAAAAAATGTATCAACCTACCATTATTCTTATATTTATCTAAAACTGTTTCTGAAAAAAGAATGTTATTTTCACTTTCAATATCATCTCATCACTCACTCACGGGACTAAATACTCTCAATTTTCATTATATAAAAAATACTAATATAATTCGACAAATATTCCTAACATCATTATAAAAAACAAAAAATCACTATCTTGAAAATATGAAACACGTTTAATAAGAGGAAGCTTTAGGAGAGTTCAAATTACACACTGAAAAACAACAAAAAAAGATAAACAAGCCTACTTTCTAAGGCTACCCATTACAACGTTTGAAACATAGAGCACACCACAGTACGTTTCTAAGATAAGCATTATAAAAACTTTTATATTTATTTTACACTATTTTTTATTTTTTTATTTTCTTTTTCCTTAAAAAAAATCATTTTTATGATCATTTTTCTTTTTATACTTTGTGTCATATAAATATAAAAATATATCAGCCTACCATTAGTCCTATATTTATCTAAAACTGTTTCTGAAAAAAAAAATATTTTCACTTTCACGATCATCTCATCACTCAATCACCACCGGACTAAATATTCTCAAATTTCATTACATAAAAAATACTAATATAATTCCAAAAATCATCATTAAAAAAAACAAAAAATCACTATCTTGAAAATATAAAACAGGTTTAATAAGAGGAAGTTTTAGGAGAGCTAAAATTACACTGAAAAAGAACCAAAAAAAGATAAACAAGCCTACTTGAGGCTATACCCATCACAACGTGAGAAACATAGAGCATACCACAGTAAGTTTCTAAGATAAGCATTATAAAAATCGAGACAAACTCACATTACAGTCTATCATATTGAATAATAATATAACATTTTTACACTGCATGTATTATTTATTTTAAGGACAGACATGAACAAAGTAAAAACGCATTAATTAAATGTATTATTAATTCTAAAGATTAAAAGAAACAGTTACTGTATATGAAGAAAATAGTTATACAGTTCTATATAGGTTGACGCATGAATGAAGGAAGTTGTTTTTATCATAGTCATACTTTTCAAATTTTGAAAAATCCGTGGGCAGTGTCCATTTGATTCATACAACTAGGAGCAATCAGCGGCTGAATAGTTTCTTTTATCTCTGCTTGCAACTGCATCATCATCTCTAACAAAATAGTTTCTTTTAACCACAGTTTCACAGAAATCCCATCAAACGTACAGAAAAGAAACATCGTAGAACTTAGAAAATTCCTTAAAAAAGAAGAAAGAAGAAGTTCATAAAATAAAGTGTGTAGTTTTGTACAGTAAGGTGATGTGGTAAAAATTTACTGGACATTCACATTTTGTGTCTCCAATTGTATGAAACAGAGGAAGCTAGCTAGGTACGTAGGATAGAAGAAAGAAGGAAGCTTTATTGCTAAGACTAAGTATAAGTGACGTATGAAATATGATGCAGAGAGTGGTAGAGTAAACTAAAGTGAGGGTGGACCATTGACAGCAGAAATAGCGAAACAGCCATTAATGACACTTGTGAATCCCACATGTTGGGAACTGAAAGCACCCAAATTTCAATTTCAGACTGTATCAAATGATTTCGTTGTGGTTGGTACCAAAAATGAAGGAACCAATCCATTCAGTGGAAACCAAACGCACCGTTCAATCCCAAATGGGTAATAGCGTTTCAGAACAACACTGTTGCGAAAACAACTCATCGGAAAAGGCCGCGCAGAACGAGTCCAATGGCGGAAACATCCAACTGTCCACCACGTCGACCATCACGAACGAGTCAACGGACGAGTCAAAGCTGTCTTCGATGTTCGGAAGCTCCACTATCTCGCTCAGTTCGGATTCTTCGGAAGTTTCTGTTTCCGAGTCCGAGGTTTGTGTTACGGAGTCGAATTTAGACATGGAGGCGGCGGCGGTGGCGGCGGCTTGAATGTCGCGTGGGGAGCACGTGAGGGGGCGGGGGAGCAGGTCCGCGATTTCCGGGAAGTTGAGGATTGCGGATTGGCCTTTGATGGTGAGCGCCGCCACGTCATGGGCCCGCGCCGCCATTTCCGGGGTGGCGAAGGTTCCGAGCCAGATGCGAGACTTCTTGCGCGGTTCGCGGATTTCCGAGACCCATTTGCCCCAATTGCGCTTCCGTACGCCGTGGTACACCGGGTGCTTGCTGCAGTCTCTGGGCCTCTTGGCCCGGGCATGAGCCTTTGGACCCGAATGCGAGGACGGTGACGACAACGTAGAAGAGATTGTTGTTTGTGTCATTGTTGAAACTCAAGAGTGGGAATGAATGTCTGGTTTGGCAAACAGATAGATACATATACATATAGAGAGAAGTGTAAAGATCAAGACTCTAACGTATAGCATAGGGGCATGGTTGGAAGAAAGTGAAGCGGAATGAGGACACACCATACATGGCGTAAGCCTTTCGTAGTGAATAATACGCTCTCTTACAGCGACCCTTGACCTACCAATTATATATTTCACACACTTGGTTCACTTTTTTAACCATCCACCCAAAAATATCATACATCAAAACGTTATTACATGCTAAACTCCGTTACAACAATTTAAATTCAATTCTATTAGTTTTTTATTAACACTAATTACAATCTTAAAATTCTTCTCTTTATCGTATTTGTTTCCGACATAAGTGAATGGATTTGATGTTCTCTCTATTAATAACTAGCTTAGTAGGTCTATCTTTTATTGGCGAGACTAATATAAAAGTACATTTATAACGTTTTAGACGTATTTAGAGTGAAAATAGTGACTTCTTTTTGTCTTGTTTTATCTTTCGTTTTTTGGCTGTTTTTTTTCTTTTCAAACATGTATTATTAGTGTGTGAAAAAGAAAATGAAAGATAATGTTGTACTATATGTCAATAAAGATTTATAGAATGATCGGTCGATTCAATCACGAGAGGGAACGGTCGGTTTGAATGAAATGCACTCAACATCATCAAATACTATTCGATCAATATTAGTTAATCGTATTGTCATGAAAATCAGAGACAGAGAGATCGAACGGCCCCAACAATAGGAACTCCTAAACGTCCTCCTAATCAAGATTACTTAGTAAAAAATAGGTCGTGATTGAGTCATAATTAGGATTCCACTAATCACAAACCTATTATGAAACTTATAAATAGAGATCGAAGGTAAAAAAGTAGCTGATTGTGTTTATTATGAGTTTAAAATTTTATTGTGATCTCGATTAAATTAATTATTAACTTGAGCATCAAAGTATTTTTGTCACTTACACTTAGACGGTTTAGAACTTAGACAAAAAAACAACAATTAAAGATGTTGAGAATGATTTAAGCTAACTTGAAAAGAAATGTGAAAAAATATTTGCGAAAATCCTCTATCTACGTCCGAAATAAATGTAATCTAAATAGTAAAGTTTTTCTACACTATATTGAAACCTAATGGCAAAAAAATACTGACAATTTGTCCAAGCCGGAGCAACCTAACGTGTTCTAGATGGATATGGCTAAATGGGGTTTGGAGTTTCTTTTATCCGTCTAAAATAAACCAAGTTGCTGTATGCAGAATTAACTGTTGACTAAAACTAATATGTAGTAGTAAATAAGATACAAGATTTCTGAACTAATGCTCATCACACCAATTGGAAGAAAGCATGGTCAGAAACGAAAAAGAATCACTCTACCAGTTACCTGTTTTTAAAATGAAAAAGTTGCACTGCTTATCTCACTTCATTTATTACCAAACTCATTTAAGCAATAGAAAAAGACAAAGACAGAGACTATCGAGAAGCCCGTTTCTCTGATCTGAAAGTTATTAAGAAACTGTTTAATGGAATGGAATGGAAGTAGTTAGAAAAAAATAAGAAATTTGGGTGTGGAATATTTAATTTGACAAGTACTGGTTCACATAGGTGTAGATAATGGATTGGAGAAAGGAGACACTACGGGTACAAAGAGGTCCCACACCGACATTGTAGCTTTAACGTTCACTACAACATTTGGCTAAGTCTCCTTAGCCCACATCTCAACTTTCTTGTGCCCGTTGCCCTTATGATCAATTTGTTTTTTCTTTTGTCCATTCCCCATTTTTACTATTAGATGAATAGAAAGATATAACATAATTAAACTTAATCTAAATTCTGGATTAATACTATTTTAACCCAGATCTTAATATGATAAGATATAGTCAATGTTCCAATCTGAAGTATCGTCTACTGTACAAATTCATCAGTTTACGTCATCCAATCCATTAATTACATAAAGAGTTAATTCTGATGATCTTAAAACAATGTTAGCGGAACAATCACCAATTGACTTGATAACTGTTTGGTACCTTATATATCAAAGATTTTACAATTTGATTAACAAGGTAAAAACATATTTAGGAGACACTAGGCCGTGATTAGACCACCTTAACCGATCGATAACTGAAATCTAACTTGAGCGTCAGAGTGTCTTTGACAGGTATACACCCGATAAACTGAGATAAATGACTAGTTAGAAATGTGAAGATTTAGTTATCAATCCTTTATACCGAAACAAGTTCTTAGAATAACATCATTATATCGTATATATGAAGTGTTACTTGTTTTGGAATATATGTTTGGTCACAATTTTAAATAAACAAATATTTAAAATGTGTTTGATCTTGATTCTTGAATGATATGAGACTATCAGACATAATAAAATATAAATTTATACGGATACACATTTAACAATTACTTCTTTCATACCTATTCAAAACATAAAATTTATACTAATACACATTTAACATTTACTCTTTTCATACCAATTCAATATATGAAATTTATACTTAAACTTAAATTTTTACATTTAACATTTACTCTTTTCTCATTTTCCAAATGTTGGTGTGCATTAATTTAGGACAACGACTTGGGAAAAAAAATGAGGGAATTAGAATCATAATTAACCAGGCACCCTTTTGTGAGAAAAGAGGAAGGAGCATATCCACCATAAAGCACAAACTAGGATTTGGGTTTGTCTAATGCAGCATTAGTGTCTTAATCACCCTTTCTAATAAGAGAAGGAGAAACATCTCTACCATGCATGTCTGGCTCGTATAGTTACGCACTACCAACGCAAAAACCTAGCATCACGTTAACATTACAATGCCCTAGATGTTTAATTTTAGTACGTGACACTTCAATTTTGATGGAGCTTAGATTGATTCCTACAGTGGGTAGATAAGAAAAAGAATCATTTGATGGTAAATATTAAAATACTAAAACCTGCAATTTCCACTTTGGTAAACTCGAGAATTTATGAAGGTCCAACAATTGATATAAACGGTAGTATTCAAATAAAGTCAGCTCTGGTTTCAGTTAAAACGGAACATGGAAGTCTTATTTTGTTACTAATTGATTAATTAATGGGCTAATGATGACGAAAAGCAAGCTATTAATGCATTTTTTAATAGTCTGTGACAATAATAATATTAAGTCAATAACGTGGTTGCATCATGATTCGAGTTTGTCTTGACATATGTAGGAGCATTATAACACGCGTCACAAAAGAAATAAGACAAAGGAAAAGGTTGTAATTATTTGTGCACAAGCATAAATAAAATGATAGTATATATATATATATATATTTATTTTTACTTGTGTGGTACAGCATATTATATAAAATTGTATTGTTATAAGAAACGATGGTGGCTAACACAAAAGTGGTAAGAGAAACTTGTATTGATTTGAGCTTAATTTACACGTTTACTTGAGAAAGAAATGGATCTGGTTACATAAAAAAGTCTTTTTGTATTTGCTAATTGCGGTTGGTTTCATTATACTATTATCATTATTAGTTTACAATAATAGAGCTGAATTCACGTGCTGTGTTATAAAATTACTCCACTAATGTTTTCGTCAAATGGTTATTAGTACGTGGTTAACTTAGTTAATTATAATTAATGAAGGTTTTCAATAAAAATATTGGTAATATTCTAATAGTAGCCTATCTCACTTGAGCTTAAAGGGGTGTCCCCATAGTACTCCTTGTTATGGGGGGCCTTTAAACAGAGGCATTTAATAAGGACGAGTGAAAAAATAAAATATTAAATTCAGGAAATTTATGAATCAATTAAATATTCATGTGTACTACATACATTTTCACACACAAAAAAATGATTTTATGATGGTTTCTACATTCATTTTAATTTTGTTGACCAAAGTAATTTCAGAAAAATATTTTTTAATCATTTCAATACAATTGCACATTGTGTGTGGTTTAACTAATGTAAGTGATTTACTATCCTTTATAGTTATTTTATAGTTATGGATCGAATCCCAGTTTTTATGAAAAATCTCATATTAATTATATATGAGTATGAATAATAATCAATTTTTTCGATAAGATATGATAGAGAATACAAACATGTTTGTTTTATCCTTATATCTATACCCATGTCAATATTCATCCTTATTTTTATTACTATTTATATTTTAAGTTATTAAAGTATTCCTAGTATATTAGGTAACCTAAAAAATATCTATATTATTTTTTTAGTATTTGATTTTACAATTTTTCTATTTTTTCTTTCGTTACACATTTTTCTGTCTGTTTTTTAACTGTCTGATAGTTCTATATCACAACATTCACTCACATATCTTTTAAGGTACTTTTCTTCTTATTATAGCTGTGCAATTTTTCTTTTGTATTATTAATTTTAGTTTATCAATAGTTTTTATATATCACATTTGATTAATATTTTTACTTGTTATTTTTTTATATGAGAAAGTTTAACCATCAGTTTCAAGCGTTCAATCGAGTAAATTTTTCATTAATGGGTTATATAAAAAACGTATATTTTGTATTCTATTTTATCCTTCATTTAAAGAAATTTCAAGGTACTTTTCGTCCCATCATCTCTTTAACTATATATATATATATATATTACTTTACTTTCGTTCAAATCATTCATAGAACACACATTTGATCATTTTTACATTGTTTTATATTTTTATTTATTTTCTTTATTTTATCACATGTAAAATATTATTTTGATATTTTTTTATTTAACTATTTTTATTTTCTAACTCATTTTTATAAGTGTAATTTTACCACCATAATTTAATAATCCAAAAGAATTTTTAACGTCATTAATTCCATGTCAAATGTGGCAAAATAGGCTTGATGTTAATTAACATTTGTTAGTATTAGAGTCAGTGTTAATTTACGAATTAATGTCCAGTGGGAGGTGGACTTACATTATTTGACCTTCTAAAATTTCATAAAATTGTTAGTCTCCACCTTTCTTTTTTTCATTTGTGTGAAATCTTTAATCATAGTGTATCAACAACGTCAAAATCATATGAATAAGTTATT